TTTTATACAAATACGGTCAGCACTTGGACATACAAGATATTTGTAAAAATTTCTACATAATTTCTGGCCAGAAACGAAGAAATTTATAAGATAATATTAAATAAAAGAATTAACCGCAGTACCTTGTCTTTCACTTTTATTAAAACATGTATAAAAGAGAGCTTGCTGCCGAAATACACGACTGTTACATATATATATATATATATATATATATATATATATATATATATATATATATACTAGCAGTAGAGCCCGGCGTTACTCGGGGATATAACAGTAAGAGATAGATCAAGTATCGACCATCATAAAGACTGAAAAATAAAATTGACAAAAGATTATTGTTTAAGGTTGACGGACACGCATGTCTTAATTAGTTTTTTTTTTTTTTTTTTGGTCAAACCCAAACTCAAACAAAAAACATTGTTTTCAATCGTTATGAGTCTACCGATTGAATAGAATTTTATGATAAACAATTGTCTTGTAAATGGAATTTTAAAGCATTCTGAATGTAAAAATAAAGAAAAAAAAAGTGTGCAAACAATAAGAAACACTACCTGCCAAAAAATTTGAAGTTTTGTTGAAATCGGTTGAAAATGTAGGAAATACGATCCCATATATAAACGAACACACACAAACACACACACACATACAAACAACCTGGGTTTTAAGTATAACTCGATATGATTTGTCCCCTTTCATTCTCGCGATGTCTATTAATCGTGTTTTCAAATTGATTTCGTGCAAAAACAATTGTTTTTCCAATTTTTGGCTCTGTCAGAACCACCGCAAGGTAATTTTACGTAGTCCTGTGATGTTTTGTTGAAATGGGTTGAAAAATGTAGGAAATCCGATCCAATATATAAACGTACAGACACACACATACACACACACACACACACACACACAACCTGGATTTTATAATAAGTATGATATATATATATATATATATATATATATATATATATGATGACTTCTCCCGTCGAGTTCGACGTAAGAGGGTCCGACGACCACGAACTAATTATCTGCATGCCTACGACGAGCCTGACTTTTCAGACCGGCTCACAAACAGTACAGAAGAATGTATTGTATTCAAGTACAGCAGGAACACTGTTAGATATTTTGCTTTCTCGTTTTATGTAGTCGACTGATGCTTACTTCTCAGTGCAGCTATATCAATGTTGTACTTCTTTAGCTCGAATGCGACCAGAGTTGTTTTTCATTCTGGTGGTGAGTTGTTGTCCTGAGAATTCTAAGTGACAGGATGAAGTTGATGTTGTTTCGTAGAGTTTTTCGCTGAAGCCGGATATGTGTGGAACTAATTAGATGTAGTTGTCAGAAAACCAACACAATGATTTGTGATGAAGGCCTGTACCGAACCATTCACACTTTTTGGATCTGTTGATAAAAAATTAACGGTGCAAAAGACTTGCCACGGAAACTCCGAACGACAGTCCTCATGTGTTATTATCGGGGATTTTAACGTCTCCGGATCACAGTCAGTATCAGCCAGTATACGCCAGTATACGCCTCTCGGCAGACACATGCAATATAGTGACAGGGTTAAGCTGTCATGAATTTTCCTTCCTATCTGAAGTCTTTTTATCTGAAACCAACACTAAAAGGATTGCTAACCAAAACTCAGAGAGACTCCTTTCACCCTCATCAAGGGCAGGTAGCTCACGCCAGTTCTCAACCTGATACTTTACATAGTTCCGCTGGAGCTATGTAAAGTACCAGGTTGAGAATATATATATATATATATATATATATATAGGGTGTCCAAAAAAATTGATATCATTTCGCAACCCAATAATTTTGGCAATTCTTGTTGAAATAACTTCAAATTTTCATATAATATATAGAAACAGATCAAGATTTAACTTAATGTTTAAATTTAATTTTATTTAATCTTTTATTTTTGTTCTGTTTTCAGGTTTTGCCATGTCGTTCACTCTCAAAGGGAAGTCGTTCTGGTCTTGGAATATGTATGCACAACAGTCCCTCAAGACTTTGCAGTGTGTCTTCAATACAAAATTTGGAAAAACGGCACCAAATGGCAAACAAATTTGGACTTGGTACCAAAAATTTAAAGAGGAAGGCTGCTTATGCAGTCCTAAAGGATCTGGTAGACCATCATCAACATCAACGTGTTTGGCAATAGCTTAAATACCAACTTGACGTGTGCCGTGTAACATTGATATATTGTACACTTATGAAAACAGTTCCATAATAAACTTATGATGTTCAACACGTAAACTGTTCAATTTCATTGAGCTGGACTTGGCAGTTTTTAAGATAATTGCTTTTAAAACGATTTCATTATTAGGGAGACAACCTGTATTTAAGCAATAATAAAAACACCGCATTTTTAAATCAAAATATTATATATATATATAGAACAATATACAAAATATATACGATTACATATATTTTGTTGTATTTGTGCGTTTTAAAATTGTGTATACACGTACGGTTTATTTGTGGGCGGCCGTACAATCGTATGTACTTACCGACTTCGTTTTCTATTTCTTCATTATACCAGATCTACTTTTCCTTTATTTTTTCTGTTCTTTCTCTCTGTGGTCTTGGGTCTTTCTATTGACTAAGCTCTGGGCTGGAGACACGGTGGTGTAATGAATAGCACTTCAGACTGAAGAATTGAAGAACCGAGTTCGAATTTCAGTCAGGCTCCTTTTATTCACTTACGGAGTGTACAACGGCCGAAATGTTGTGAATATGGCAGAGAGGCTGAGGACAACAGTCTGAATTATGTAAATAATAAAAGTAACCAAATATATATGGTTCTTTTCTAAGCATAGCCCAAGTCCTAAAATATGGGTCACCTAGTGAGTATCGAACTCACTTTTGTCGTAACTGATCCAGCAAGACAAGCTTGCTAACCTTTACACCACGTCGAGGTGATATATATATATATAACCCTACACTTAAAATCGTGAAAAATTATGTGATTGTAGAAACCCAGAAGACTGCCCATTGGAAAATAAATGCCGCGTAAAATCTGTGCCATACCAATGTACTATCTCATCCATTGAGAATACTAATATGATATACATTGGGTCTACGTAGAATGAATTTAAAAGCAGGTGGAGGCAGCATAAGTGCTCCTTCAACAATATTAATAAAAGAAATCAGACATATCTATCTAAATATTTTTGGCATTTGAAGGAAATGAATAAAACACCAAAGTAAAATGGAAAATTATAAACAAAACTAGAACTTGTAAAACTTGGGATGACCCATGCCTACATGAAAAACTACACATTATTAAGTTTTTAAATAATGAAAATTTATTAAACAATAGACATGAGTTGACGGTTTTTTGCCGACATCATCAAATTTTTGCATTGAATAATTAGCATAAAAAACAAACAAACAATAAAATAATAGATACAAATTTTAAACTCCATAGCCTAAATAAAAAGTTTAAATGCCCTACCCAATAAAAAAAGGATAACCCTTTATGAAGTCGTCAAAAAAAAACAAATGTTAGCGAATTATGACAGTTTTTTTTTATATACACAAAACCCTTTCAGAAAAAAATAAAAAAAATAAAATAAATAAATCTCCATAGACACTTAACCAGACTAGATGATGTCATCTTCCGCTTTAAATTTAGACACCCCAACCTTACCCTGACTTGACCTCTTTGAATGTAACTGAGATATTGATACAAATTATTAACCCTTACGCCCCTTTTCTTTAAATAATTGCTCTAGCCGTTACCATAGTAATTTTAATTTTAATAATGAATATGCTTACAAAACGCGTAAATTTCAGGAATTAGTTATTCCAAAAAAATTTCTCTTGAAGATGGAACAGAGCTTGTTACTTTAATTCAATTTAATTCAAATAATTATATTGAAGTTTTGAAACATGAGAACTCTTATGTAGCGATGGAATCATATTTTTAAATAAATAATTACATATATATATATATATATATATATATGATACCCAGCGCGACTAGACACCGAATGCTTCAAGCCAGGATCGAAACCCGACCGATTTGGTGTCAGTCTTCTACCAATGAGCTATCGTCACTCGGTTGAGTTCGGAAAGTGCCAAATAAGCAGCAACAATTCATACAAACAGTTTTAATTCTGATTTACACCTCATTCGGAAATTGGGAAAAAATTTTTTAACAGACTGCTGAATTTGTTCTGCTGTATTTACGATAAATTCTAAATGAAAATTAAAGGCCCCAAAAAGTGGGGTCCCTTATATAAACAATACAATGTGATAGGTCCTGATCTGGCATCTCGTCTGTAGTCACTTTATCACAGACATGATGTGGCTTCCCTCTGTCTTTTCTACAAGTATTTTCATGGCAACTGCTCTGACGAGGTACTTTCACTGGTTCTCAAACTTCATGAATTTAAGCGAGCTACTAGGCTGGCATCTTGGTCCCACCCTTTCACTGCCGAAACAGTTAAATGTAACCGCCTCTTCTACTCCAACAGCTTCTTCTCTCACACTTCCCGCCACTAGAACTCCTTTCCTATCATTTGCTTCCCTAACAGCTACCATCTTCAAATAATCAAATGTAATGTCAATCGACATCTTCTGATTCCTTGATCTTGATCCCCGCCCTTCTCTATATCCTTTCCTCAAACACGCCTCTTTAACTCTTCCTCTCACTCTCAGTAACCCTCCCTCTTTACTCTTCTTCTCACTCTCAGTAACCCCTCCCTCTTTACCCTTCATCTCACTCTCAGTAACCCCCCTCTTTACTCTTCCTCTCACTCTCAGTAACACCTCTCTCTTTACTCTTCCTCTCACTCTCAGTAACCCCCCTTTTTACTCTTCCTCTCACTCTCAGTAACCCCTCCCTCTTTACTCTTCCTCTCACTCTCAGTAACACCCCTCTCTTTACCCTACCTCTCACTCTCAGTAACCCCTCCCTCTTTAATCTTCATCTCACTCTCAGTAACCCCTCCCTCTTTAATCTTCCTCTCACTCTCAGTAACGCCTCCCTCTTTAATCTTCCTTTTCATTCTCAGTAACCTCCTCTTTACTCTTCTGCTCACTCTCAGTAACCCCTCCCTCTTTAATCTTCCTCTCACTCTCAGTAACCACTCCCCTCTTTACCCTTCCTTTCATTCTCAGTAACCCTCCTCTTTACTCTTCTGCTCCTCACTCAGTAACCCTCCCTCTTTACGCTTCCTCTCCTCTCAGTAACCCCTCCCTCTTACTCTTCATCTCACTCTCAGTAACCCTCCCTTTACTCTTCATCTCACTCTCAGTAACCCCTCCTCTTTACGCTTCCTCTCACTCTCAGTAAGCCCTTCCTCTTTACTCTTCTTCTCACTCTCAGTAACCCCTCCTTCTTTACTCTTCCTCTCACTCTCAGTAACCGTCTCTCTTTACTCTTCATCTCACTCTCAGTAATGCCTCCTCTTTACTCTTCATCTCACTCTCAGTAACCCCTCCCTCTTTAATCTTCCTCTCACTCTCAGTAACCACTCCCTCTTTACCCTTCCTTTCACTCTCAGTAACCCTCCCTCTTTACTCTTCTGCTCACTCTCAGTAACCCCTCCCTCTTTACGCTTCCTCTCACTCTCAGTAACCCCTCCCTCTTTACTCTTCATCTCACTCTCAGTAACCCCTCCCTCTTTACTCTTCTTCTCACTCTCAGTAACCCCTCCTTCTTTACTCTTCCTCTCACTCTCAGTAACCCTCTCTCTTTACTCTTCATCTCACTCTCAGTAATGCCTCCCTCTTTACTCTTCATCTCACTCTCAGTAACCCCTCCCTCTTTACTCTTCATCTCACTCTCAGTAACGCCTCCCTCTTTACTCTTCATCTCACTCTCAGTAACCCCTCCCTCTTTAATCTTCCTCTAACTCTCAGTTCTTGCGGCGCTTCCGCCTTGCTTGGGGTGATAGGCTTTAAAAATATACACGGTTTCATAGATGTTTACCCAGCTTTAAAAAAAAACAAACCCTCTTATTTGATACAACAACAATAGAAATAAACACAGTCCAATTGATAATAAACCAGAGACAAGGCAGGTGCTAGTCACAATTCTAATTTTATTTACCTATTAAGATTTTGCTTGTACTAAATATTTTTTTTAATTTCTTTTTTTTTTTCCTTTTTTAACTGTAGTGAATTTAGTCTTCCCCTTTTTGAAAACATTGTTTGAATATTAGATCCTCGATTTTTTTCTTGACCTCTGACTCCTACAAATATTGGTCGGTGTCTTAATTCCTCGCTCACAGAGGTGGAGAAATGTCACCCCTAGCTTAATTTTCCCCGAAGAAGCTACGTGAAAAAAAGATAATCGTCGCCAGATATTTTTTTTTGTGTGTATCTCTTTGAATTTTACTCCTAATTAAAAGGTATCACAAATGTTTACACAGCTTAAAAGCCTCTTATTTAAAGCAGCAAGAAAGAAAATAAACTCAGTATAACAGACAATAAACTACAGGCCAGGCAGGTGTTAATAACAATTGCTTACAAAAGGTATTTAATATCGTCAATATTTCTTCTTTGAAATTGAACGTCTTTTGTCTCAAAGACAGGAAGTTCACTGAAATTCATTCAAAATATAAATAAAAGGAATTTGTAAACTTTTCATAACATTAATGTTAAAACAAAGCATCTTTTGCCGGAAATTCGAAAAAAAAGTTTTGACATTGCATTAAGAAGAGGAAACACACAATGATTAAATATCCCGTTTATTTTTATTCTTTAATATCGTGAAAAATTAAATGGTAAATGAAATGTAAGTACGACATGAAGCTTTTAATGGATAAAATGGTACAAGTTGACTTTTTAAAATTACACATAGGTAGCTGTACAAGGAGTTCGTATTATACACAAGGATGTAATTTATTCCTTGCATTTAGCTTCAGAAACACAGTGTAGGGTTATGAACAAGGATTTAATTTATTCCCTGTTTTTAGCATCAGAGACACATGGTCGTATTATACTCAGGGATTTAATTTATTCCTTGTTTTTAGTTTCAGAAACACGGGGTCGTACTATACTCAAATATGTAATTCATTCCCTGATTTTAGCTTCAAAAACACGAGGTCGTATTATACTCAAGGATTTAATTTATTCCTTGTTTTTAGATTCTGAAACACGGGGTCGTATTATGAACAAGGATTTATTTTATTCTCTATTTTTAGCTTCAGAAACACGGGGTCGTCTTATACTCAACGATGTAATTTATTCCGTTTTTAGATTCTGAAACAGGGGGGTCGTATTATACTCAACGATGTAATTTATTCCTTGTTTTTAGCTTCAGAAACACGGGGTCGTCTTATACTTAACGATGTAATTTATTCCGTTTTTACATTCTGAAACGGGGGGGGTCGTATTATACTCAAGTATATAATTTATTCCGTTTTTAGATTCTGAAACAGCGAGTCGTATTATACTCAAGGATTTAATTCCTTGATTTTAGCTTCAGAAACACGGGGTCGTATTATACTCAAGTTATTCTATACAAAAAAATTATACATCTTTTTGTATATATCTGGCACTTCGTAGCAGAATATGGCCAACCGAAAAAATGAACTTATGATATCGAGCAATTCTTCCGCATTAAATTTTAAATCTTCTCCGGTAAAGACCTACCCGCTAGGTAAGCACTTCAGGGACAGATTAACAAATCATCATCATTGTCTGCCGTCAAATGGCAGGTGTTACATCAGAGACTTCCCTCTCCTTGCTGGAGAAGAGGTCCATCACTCCCAGCGAGTTTACTACATCAACATCGGCAAATCTACGTCTTCATCCCACTGTTCTAGATTGCCTTTAATCCCATCAAAATATCCATAAGCCCTTCGAGAACTATTGCTTTTAATTCCTACTCTGTGTCTAACCACCCTCCTCGACAGAAAAGCCTGGTGAGCAAATCGGTTTAGTCACCAATAATCCAATCATTCGGCAGCTTTTACTAGGTTACACAGTACCAATAACACTTTTTGAGTCACCTGAATGTACTATAAACAATTTCTGAACAAAAAGAATGCATTACACAGATTGACCTTCAAAACTGTCACGCTTGCACACTAAGTTATATGTCTCGCTCACTTCTGTTGTCTACAGTGGTGATCGGAAGGAACGTGTGTAGAGTGTGGCACAGTCAGTGACCATTTACTTCTGCAACAATTTTGGACAAGAAAAATAACCCCTAAGACCGACAACCACTATATTCCCCAGATCTCTCCACTTGCGAATATTTTCCTCTTTATAAAAATGAAATTCTAGTAGAAAGAACAAGATTTCAAGACATCGAGGCAATCCAAGTAAATGCAACGAGGCAGCTGCTGGCTACCTCCACAAAAGACTTTTAAGAATACTTCCATCAGTGGAAACGACGCTGGATGTGTGTGGCTTTAGAAGGCGAATACTTCGAAGGAGATTAAATGCCGAATTGATATGTGTTGTAGTTTTATTTTTTATAGCACCATTTTTGATACTTTTTGATCAACACACACACACCGTAATATCCTAGTAGTGTTTCATATCCTAGTAATATAACATATTAAAACTGATCCACAAAAAGAGCACAATGTATCTATTATTACAGAGCAAATAAATCAGTATATAAAAAATCCAAAATAATGAGATAATTTTGGGTTTTTTTATGTCGTAATATATATATATATATATATATATATATATATATATATATATATATATATTATTAAAAAAAGAAAGAATAGTAAGATATATAATCCGGTGTTGTTATTGATATTTTTTATATTTAGCTTCGATTTTTTAAACATGGTAATTCCTGTGTAGCGAAGGAACCATTTTTTTAAAAAATCCGTTAATTTATAATATATAATATATATATATATGGTGCATCAAAAATACTTTCGTAAATGGTGGTGTGGGTTCCTCACAACAAAACAGGTAAAAAAGTTCATATATGTCCTCAAATCCTTCATTTTTGAGTTATTAAGTTTACAGTTTACGGTAGATGTCGTAAAATATACAATCCAAGATAAAGTCTAAAATACTTTTACAAACTTTTCCACGGATTCTGTCTCAGCAACGCGACGATAAATAGCAGCAATATTTGGATGACTAGGCTGCCTTCTGTCTGGAAACGCAGCCTCGTGTCCATTACCATTCGTGAGGTTGTATCACATCTTCCTTCTAGCCATATGAATATCTTGCCATTGTTAAACGGAACACTTCTCAGGTAACTCACATTAAACGCTGTGACAGAGTAGCCACAAATGTACACGAATGAAAAATGTAACCTAGTCTACATGCTAATACAGCGGCATAAAACTTGTCAAAATGCTTGTTCGTTCCGAGCGCTTTCGTTTAATCTGTTTCACATTTTCATTTTGGTTGCGCTAATGTAAATGGTGCGCAAGCTGCGAAGAGGTAGCCGCTTATCGTTAAAAAAATGCCAAATCTTGCATATATCACACAGTGATATTCGCTAGCAAATAAAAATATCTAAAACACATCAGTTCCGAGTGTTTTATAAATGAAGGCTCCTTCGGCGTCAGGTAAATGATTGCGGGGGGGGGGGTTCTAGAGTTAAACAATCGCAATGATTTCGATTCTTAGTCTGTGTCCCACAGCAAATTTGATATTAAATAAATTCGACTTCAGGTGGAACTCATAATGGTAAAATGGTCGCTTACCTGTACCGCTCAGGTAAGTATCTGACTCCTCTTGCTATCTTCTTCCTTTACAAGAGCCACATAAGGGGGAAAATGGAGTACAGCTGCCATATATGGACAGGTACTATGCAGTTTTCAATTTCTAGTTTCGATAGAGACCAAACGCATCTCCGCGTACATATATGCTATTAATTTTTTTCAAAACCTTTCCTTTTTTGACGCTAGTGTAAACCGAATATGTGCTCTTTTTTTTCTTCTATAGTTAACCGGACATATTTCTAACTATTTGAGTCTAGTGTGGACCAGATATGAGTCCATCTTTTTGATTCTTGTGTAAGCCGGAAATATGTCCGCCTTTTTTTATTCTATTGTAAATCGGATCTATAGCCGCCATTTTTTAGTCTAATGTAAACAGGATATATGCCCGACTTTTTAATCTAGTGTAAACCGGACATATGTACGCCTTTTTTTTTTAGTCTAATGTAAACTGGATACATGTCGGACTTTTTAGTTTATGTGTCCTCTTTTTTTCTATTCTAGTGTAAACCGAATCTATGTCCGCCTTTTTTACTCTAGTGTAAATCGGATATGTCTCCGCATTTTTTATTCTAGTGTAAACCGAATATATGCCAGTCATTTTTGATCTACTGTAAACCGGATGTTTCGTCTTTTTTACTCTAGTGTAAGGCGGATATATGTCCTTTTTTTTTATTCTAGTGTAAACCAAATATTTATCCGCCATTTTGAGTCTAGTATAAACCGCATTTTTGTGTCTAGCGTAAACCGGATATGTCCGCCTTTTTGATTCTAGTGTAAACCGGACAAATCCTGCCTTTTTGACTTTAGTGTAAACTGGATATATGTTCTCCATTTTTATTCTAGTGTAATCTAGACGTCCGCCTTTTTAAGTATAGTGTAACCCTGACCTATTTCTAAATTTCTATTAATTCATTTTGATTCATCTCCTGAGTGATTTATATTCAACCTTGTATTATGCCATTCAATTAAGCAACCAACATGACCATTTTTCGACGCTACCGGACGAGCGAATGCCGCGTTAGTGAGGTTTAACTTATACCATTAATACCATCAACATATCCGCTGCTT